GATTGAACTTTTTAGTCCCACCCAGTCTGCCGTTACCACTGCAGCCACGCCCACCCAATGGGCCACGCCCACCCAATGGGCCACACCGAGCCAATGGGCCACACCCACCCGGCACTTGACGATGCATAAGTGGGTTTTGGGTTGTAGTTTGGGCACTCAGTCTCTAAAAGGTTCGCCATCACTGATCTAGTCCAACCCTCTGCTTAGGCAAGAAACCCTATACCATTTCAGACAGATGGTTGTCCAATCTTTTCTTCAGACCTTCCAGTGTTGGAGCATTCACAGTTCTGGAGGCAAGTTGTTCCACCCTTCCCAAAACAATTGAGACAAGAGAGGGACAGTGTGCTGTGCAAATACGAAAAGGATGAATTGACCTATCAGTAAACTTGCTGGGGTTTAATTTGAGTCCCAAGAAGGCCCAATATCTTTATTCAGTCCTATTGTGGGAATACCTTAACTTCCACACATTCTTTGTCTTTTTTTTTTTTTTTTGCTTAAATCAGCCTTCTTGGATTTCTCTTTCAAATACAGGGATTGTGACTTTGTATCACCACAGCCAGAAATGAATTGCAAAAATCCTCATTGCATCGAAGTGGCCAAGTCCTCATTAAATCTGGAACACAAGAGCCTTGCTCTCTCTCATTTGCCCTTTGGCCTCTATTTAATTCAGTTGAATAGGTTCTGAATCCCATCAGCTTTGAATTAATTCACCTCTTAAGTTCAACAGCTGCTAATCCAAGGTGTGCAATTACCTCTGGCCTGTTGCAAGCACAGGGAGTTACAGGAGCTGACTTAACATGGCTACTGTGAGAAGGTTCAGCAGAGGAAATTTGCTGGTGAGACCCGATTACTACTTTTCTGTCCTTTGAGCCTGATCACCTAATTTGAATTGACATCTCTGAGGCTTACAGCCTATAGAAGCTCCAGCAACATCTTTTTTCGCTGGTGCTTCCATGAAGACTGAATTTTCCTCACCCCCAGCCCATGAATGAAAAGAAGCTTCAGCTGTCCTTAGAAGTACAAATAATCTTCTCCCCCTGATATTGACCATCAGGCTGAAGGTGTATAAAATCAGCTGGGCTTTGTCATCTATTACCTTGGAAGGAAATCTGCATTGACTGACAAGAGAGCGGGGTGGGGTGAGGTGGTGAGACAGAAGATAGATCGCCAATGAGGATTGCAAATTTCCTGTCGGTATAGTTCTGCTGATTTGAGGATGGATGGACAGGACTTTATCTTGATAGTGGAGGCACACCTTGAGATTTATATTCCACTCTATACATGTTTTGTTGGAACTGAGTAACCCTATGAAAAGATGCTTGGGGGGAAGGGGTCACATGAGCTGACCTCTACTTCTTTATCCCAAAGCTCAATTTCTCAGATGCTTCAGAGGGCACTGCTGTGCCACACTGAAACCAAGGATTTTCAAGATTGTATCACCTCAGTTTGATAGGAAACAGCCAAATGTTCTCATTTCTTTTTCTCTGTAAGGAATAAAAAATGTATTAAGCTTTAAAAAAAAGGTTTAATATGCCTATTTTGACTGTTAAACACCTTTTTTCCCCTCCTATTCCAGGGGTAGGCAACCTTGGCTCTTTTATGACTCGTGGACTTCAACTCCCAGAATTCCTGAGCCAGCCATGCTGGCTCAGGAATTCTGGGAGTTGAAGTCCACGAGTCATAAAAGAGCCAAGGTTGCCTACCCTTGTCCTATTCAAACATGTCTGATTCTCGGAGCCTGTCTGGACAAGTCCCTGCAGTTTTGTTGGCAAGGTTTTTCAGAAGTGTGGTTGTGCTTCCTTCCTTCCTTCCTTCCTTCCTTCCTTCCTTCCTTCCTTCCTTCGGCTAAGAGAAAGTGACTGGCCTAAAGTCAGTCAGCTGACTTCATGGCCAAGCAGGAGTAGAATTCATGGTGTTACCCTATTTAATACCCTTAAATTGGCAGCTTTCAATACCATTGACCGTGGTATCCTCCTGGGATGGCTTCAAGGGTTGGGAGTAGGGGGCTTTTTGTTGTCCTGGTTCACTTCCTTCCTCTATGACTGATCTCAGTCGGTGTTGATGGGAAGCAAGAAGCTTAGCCTTTGTCCACTGCTTTGTGGGGTTCTGCAAGACTCGGTACTCTCTCTCCACTTCTGTTTAACATCTACATGAAGCCGTCAGGTGAGATCATCCACCACCACTGACACTCAGCTGTATGTCTCGGCCCATGGTGAGTTAAGACAGGGCTCTTCAAACTTGGCCCTTTTATGACTTGTGGACTTCAACTCCCAGAATTCCTCAGCCAGCGTGCCTGGCTGAGGAATTCTGGGAGTTGAAGTCCACAAGTCATAAAAGGGCCAAGTTTGAAGACCCCTGAGTTAAGAGATACCGTGATTTCCCTCTCACAGTGTTTTGAGGCTGTGAAGAGCTGGATGGGGAGCAACTGGCTGAAAGTGAACCCTGGCAAAGCAGAGTGGGTTTTTTTTGGTCCATATAGAATTGCCATCTTTGGTCTTGGATGGGGTGGCACTGCCCCAAACAGACCCAGTGCGTAATCTGTGGGTTCTCCTGGGCTCACGATTCCTGCTTGAAGAGCTGGTGGCAGGAGGGCCTTTGTACTGGTGTGTGCCAGTTATGCCCTTTCCTGGACCAACAATCCCTGCTCACAGTCATTCATGCCCTAGTCACCTCCTGTCTTGACCATGGAATGCGTTCTACATGGGGCTGCCCTTGTGAAGCACCCAGAAGCTTCAATTGGTTCAAAATGCAGTGGCCTCCATGGTTTTGTGCAGACCCAGGTGTGCACGTGTCACCTCTCCTGCAGGTGCTGCATTGACTGCCAATTTGCTGCCGGATGCAATTCGAAATGTTGGTTATCACCTTTAAAGCCCTTCATGGCTTGGGACTGGGTTATCTGAGGGACCGTCTCTTCCTGGTTACATCCACCTGACCCACTAGAGTGGGGAGGCAAGGAATGTTGCGGGTCCTGTCTCCTAAGGAGATACATCTGGCAGGATCCAGAAGAAGAGCCTTCTCCTTGGTGGCTCCCTCCCTTTGGAACATCATCCCTGCAAAGATTAGACTGGCCCCTCACTTTAAAATTCTTTTACAAGCCTCTGAAAACCTGGTCCTGCCAACAGTCTGGGGAATCCAGAGTGGGATGGAGCCCATCAAGTGACTCATTTGATTGTGCGTTCTCTTCAAGGGGTGGGGGAATATTGTTTTTTATTCTTTTATATTGGGTTTTTCTTGTTTGTAAGCCACCCCGAGTCACTAAGAGTGAGTGGGCGGCCATATAAATCTTCTAAATATCTATTTGTAGATTTACTTTTAAATCTATTTATACATCTATATCACCCCTAGACAAATAGATTCCCACAATGGAAGAATGGATGATGGATGTAATGTATTGGCCATAACTGTTTTAAATCACTTGCTTAATGTCTGACCTACATTGCTGTATTGTTTAACAGTTGCTGTTACTGAAAGCCAGACTGGCTGTCTCCAAGCTGATAATGAGGTTTGGGGTGGGAAACTGTTACTTTAAACCTATTGGTTGCCACCTAGAGGCTAACTGTATAAATAGTTGTGCAGCAGCCTTTAGGGCTGCTTCTGTTCTCAGTTAATAAACTTGTTGCTGTTTCAACACTGCCTCATTCAATGCCTAAAGAACAGAAGATACAACAATGGAGTTAATGGAATTGGCTGTAATGGCAAAATTAACTACATCGATTGAAGAAAAGCTTTGTGTTTCCTCACGGAAACCACATTTGGACTTTTTTGATAGAAACCAAAAGAAATGCTATATTAATTTTGTGGCTTGATATGTTTATTATTATAGAAATACCAGGGTTATTGAATTTTAGATCTAAAAATTCATATTGAAGAAAGTTGGAAGCTAACCAGGATCATTGCGGTCCAAGAATCTAATGAGGGTCAGGAATACTTTTGAAACATGCACACAATATTCTTATTTTACTTGTATATAATTACAGCAATACCATCCTCATGCTTTTCAACTTTCCCAGTGTCTTAGCACACCAAGGTAAAATATTAGAAGGGACTAGAGCAGGGATCCCCAACCCTTGGTCCGTGGACCAGTACCAGGCCGTTCCATGCCAGCAACCAGTCCGCACAAACAAGCAAAGTCCCATCCGTGGGATGCAGGCAGCACACAAAACCACACACCCTCTGTTCTGCAGGTCCCTGGTGCCCAAAAGGTTGGGGACCTCTGAACTAGAGCCTTTGGCTACCAACATACCCATATGCTTCTTAGGTATCAGCCCAAATCAAGAGGGCTGATAGAAACTGAAACTTTGATACTGACTTAAAATCTTAAAATAGGTTAACCAATATCCACAGACTTTGAATTGCTCATTGCATCGATGATCACTAACAGTGATTATCAATGAAAGCAATAGTTTTCCCAAATCCAGATAAGTGGGAATATATCAACGTAGAGCAGGGGTCTTCAAACTCAGCCCTTTTATGACTCGTGGACTTCAACTCCCAGAATTCCTCAGCCAGCGTGCCTGGCTGAGGAATTCTGGGAGCTGAAGTCCACGAGTCATAAAAGGGTCGAGTTTGAAGACCCCTTGACGTCGAATTTCCCAGCAATCGGCAACTCTGAAGATGTGTGGACTTCAACTCCCAGAGTTCCTCAGCCATAGTTGTAAAAGTTGAGAAACACTGGCCTAACGTGTTCCGGGAGAGCTACTACTAGATTGCACGCCTTTCTAATACAGCCCGAAAAAGAACAACGTCCCTACACTTAATCCTTCCAACTGTTCTTTCCCCGCAAATCAACACGGACCTTAGCGATGCAGTTTTTCTGCTACTTCAGAGCCAGACGCCTCCATCCCGCTCAGCCGCAGATGCTATCTTTTGCACTGCCCGGCTATTGGCGAGATTATGACATGCTGCGGCGCGGCGATTCCAAACAATACGGCCAAGTTTGCCGCTTGACAATTAGGGAGTTTCCAGCAGGGGACGCTATGACCGTATCATCGTGCGCCGGCGCCTTCCACTGCTGCCGCCACCATGGAATCCAACAGGGACGAAGCGGAGCGTTGTATTGCTATCGCGGTAGCCGCAGTCAAGGCCAATCAGACTGAGAAGGCCCGCCGTTTCCTGGAGAAGGCCCAGCGGCTGTACCCGTCTCAGCGGGTCCGCGGTGAGCGGGACTCAGGGAGGGAGGTGGGGGGAGGCCTAGACGACTGAGGCCTGGGGTAGCCGGTCTGACCTCTCACCCGTATTGCGCGTGAGCAGAAGCGAGGGTGGCGTGAGGCACCTTGGGACTTGAAGTCCCCTCGCTCGCTGGGAAAGGAACAACGCAAGTTGTGAAGGGGGTCTTCGAGGGAACTTTCACGGCCGGCGCAGGGGACAAGGGGAAACCCGACTCAGTGAAGCGGGGGTTTGTTTATGTTGTGCACGAAGAGACCGGGACGGTTATCTTCCCTGAGCTGAACGGAAGAGACTACAACTCCCAGCGGGCATTGCGCCGAGGGTGAAGGGGGCAACCCCGCACCTGAGGGATAGGAGTATTTCCCTTTGCCCCCCAATTGCAATTCCCCCCCCCCTGCCGGTCGGGGTACCTTCTCCTTCTCCCCCTCCCGCCATCTTCAGGCCTCCCTCCCGGTTTGGGACAGGCGCGGTTTAAGCATTCTTCTTCTCTCTCCCTTCGGCCTTCTCTGCTGGGCATCTGCGACCCACCTTTGCCAGCCCCTTCCCTAGATCCGCTTGTAGGTCTGTGGCCGCCTCTTGCCCCCAGCCCCCTTTAGCCTCGGCCCTGGCTCCCGGGAGCCTTTCAGATGATCTGGACCAGGGGTAGGCAACCTCGGCTCTTTTATGACTTGTGGACTTCAACACCCAGAATTCTTGAGTCAGCATGGCTGGTTCAGGAATTCTGGGTATTGAAGTCCACGAGTCACAAAAGAGCCACGGGTTGCCTACCCCTGATCTGGACCAAGCTCTGGGCCTGCTGGGCATTGGCCGGGGCGGTTGGGTGGACAGCAGTCAAGGGAAGACCCTCCCTCTCCAGTTGGGTTTATTAATCCCTGGCAGGCGCATCAGTGTAATTTTCAGGGTAACAGTATGGAAACCGTTCGCTCTTCCCTTCTCCCGGGGTATTTTTTGAATATCCCTGTGTAGCCTACAGCTGTTTTCCTACTCTTCTATCCAAGCAGACTCATCCCAACTTGTAGGGAAGTTTCAGGGTTACCAAGATTGGCTAGATCAGTGGTTCTCAACCTTTGTAATGCCGCGACCCCAACCGGTCGTAAGTCGAGGACTAAACCGGTCGTAAGTCGAGGACTAAACCGGTCGTAAGTCGAGGACTACCCAACCAGGCGTAAGTTGAGGACTTTCCCTGCCCGGGAGCACTGCGCATGCGTGGTTCTGCCCCCTGCGCCGGCCGAGGCGTAGCTGGCAAGCGGCAGAGACAGAGCAGGCCAACCACCAGCTGGCCTAGCCCAAGGGACGTAAAGCACCCGCTGGAAAAGGGGAAAAAAATGGCGGACAAAAAAAATGGCGGACAGCCTTGCTTGGCGACCCCCATGAAATGGTCGATCGACCCCAAATGGGGTCCCGACCCACAGGTTGAGAACCACTGGGCTAGATGCTGCCCTCCCCATACACACACTAAGTGGGCTAATGGGAACTGGGGTCCAAAAATTTGTGCTCAGTTGCCTGCTTAGATTTCATCACTGTAATCTCTCCCTCCCACACCTGAGTGTCCTTCTCATCCCATTCGGGAAGTATTGGAACCAGTAACAGCAGTCAACCTAATTGGGCTTTCGGTATCCCAAACAATATATTGTACTTTTGAGTACACGACGTTACAGATAATTGTAGGGAGCTATTGCTTGTGCGCTTCCCAGAGACAGTTTGAAGGATGCTGGAATATTTTGACTCTCCATTTGTAAGCAGCCTAGATTTGTGAAGATACCGTAGATAGATTTCAAATAAATACATTATTTTGTTCCAAAGTTTAACTAGATGTTCTGATGTGCTGCTTCCTTCCAATCAGTCCTTTACTTCACTGCCTCAGTCCTCTGTGCAGATTGAATAACAGAATAAGAGAGTTGGAAGGGACCTTGGAGGTCTTCTAGTCCAACCACCTGTTCGAGCAGGTGACCCTGTACTGTTTCAGACAAATGGCTTTTTATTCTTTTCTTAAAAGCCTTCAGTGATTGACGACCCACAACTTCTGAAAGTAACACTATTTAATAGTGTCTAGTGACATCATTTCTGCCTTATCTTCCCCCTTTCCCATCTCCTTTGACTTTTCTGCTTAATTATTCATTTTCCACTGACTTCTTGGAGCACAGTTATTTTTCAGCCTCCATCCCTCAACTAAAGAGCCCTAGCTGCAAGTTCTTAGTTCTCTAAATAAAGCTTGCTGTCATAACAGTGATAAATGCAGACTTACATAACTCTGATTAACAGCTATAATAGAAAAAATAAAAATATTGTAGCCTTTTAACCTTTGAAGCCTTTTACAATTAAACCAAATACCATTATATCAGAAAATATTTAAATGCATTGTACAAATGCTGCCTTTCAACTTCTCAGATACCTCAGGAAGGATAGTGATAGCTGCCTCCAGAAAAGGGCCTGTTCCCTGAATAGTTATTCTTTTTTTGTTAGATTTATATTCTGCCTTTAGTTCAAGAGCTGAAGTTGATATACAGTGCCCTGTGTGATAGATCTCTGACAGCAAGACATTGACTGGCACAGATCAGTCAATGAGCTTCTGTGGTTAAGGGTGGACTAGAACCTCTAATCACATGGGCTTATATATGGATGTTTTTTGGTCCACTGGTATTTGCAAGAGCAGTTAGATTTGGCTGTTATAACTCTTTTAAAAAAACCCTGAAGGCTGCTAATCCAACAATTTATTTTATTTATTTACCTAATGAGTTGGGGATCAGACTGATTATAAGTTTTCTAGTCGGTTACTTTGAAATACATGATCACTTCTATTTTCACTTTAATTACATTTTTTTTCTTTCCTCTTGTACCTTACTTATTCCCTTTAAATACTTACCCAAAGGAGAGTGATTTGGTGAAAAATCCATCAAGAAAAATACTCCTGTCACCTTTCCACTTGCAATTATGAAAGAAGGCTCATCTACATGCAGAATTATGTGCATTTACAAATTGTACTTGGATTGGGTTTAAATAAAGTAGGAAGACACTGTGAATGGCTGCATTCTCTTTGTGTATGTTCGTGGTATAATGATTGTAGGATTTGATTGTTGAGGGTTTGGTGCTGATTCTTTGGAAGAAAATATTTTATTTTAGAAATTCAGGAGAGCTGTAGTCTCTAAAAAGGATGATAGCTCATTGAAATGAATCTTAATTGATGTGCTTTGAATGTCATAAGCATATGCTGCTATTCTGCCTTAGATTCCTCCTCCTCCAATTATTATTACTGTTTTCTAGCATATTTTTTAAACATGCAGTTTTATATTGATTTTTGCCTAACTGAGAATTGCTCAGTTGGCAAAACAGCTATCAAACATCTGGAAGGCTTTAATAAGATACTTTTATTCTGTAGAGGTATGTTCTGAATAAACAAAACCAGAGTTGAAACTTTTGGAAGTAACACGTAATACAAAGAGATTTAAAGCAATCTGATTAATCCCTTGCATAATACATTATTAGAGGATGTTTAGAACTAGGTTATTTAAAATCACTTTCTAAGGATATGAAAACTCCTGCATTGTGCATCTCAGGCCCCTTCAGAATTGGCCTGTTAATTTAAACTTTGTTGGGTGCTATTACCAATTATTGATGTTAAAAAAGCCTGTAGAATCTGGCACAACCAGAATTGCCTGTAGTAATGATTACAGTGCTTGGACAGGTTTCCATTCCAGGTATTCTAATTTCTAGTTGTTTAAGGTTGTACAGATTAATATCAAAATTTGAAGCCTGCCCATTTCCAAATCAACAGGCAGCACAGTATTTTCAGGAGACGTGTTTGTGGCAATGGCTGAATTTCACGAACCAGTATTTTTGCTATTTCTCATTGCACTACAGATAGTCCTCAACTTACAACAGTTTGTTTAATGACTGTTTGAAGTTCCAACGACACTGGAAAAAGTGACTTATGACCATTTTTCACACTTACAACTGTTGCAACATCCCCACGGTCGCATGATCAACATTCAGATGCTTGGCAGCTGACTCATATTTATGACGGTCGCCGTGTCCCAGGGTCATGGGATCACCTTTTGCGAATGTCTGACAAGCAAAGTCAATGGGGAAGCCAGATTCACTTAAATAATCACGTTATTTACTTAATTAACCACTGCAGTGATTCACTTAACAACTGTGGCAAGAAAAGTTGTAAAATGGGGGCAAAAACTCAATAAATGTCCCACTTAGCAACTGAAACGTTGGGCTCAATTGTGATCCTAACTCGAGGACTATGTGTAATTGTAACTTCTAGATCAGGGGTCTTTAAACTTGGCCCTTTTATGACTGGTGGACTTCAACTCCCAGAATTCCTCAGCCAGTGTGCCTGGCTGAGGAATTCTGGGAGTTGAAGTCCACCAGTCATAAAAGGACCAAATTTGAAGACCCCTGTTCTAGACCATACTTAAGAGTGGTCTCACCTACACTCCTTAGCAATTGAAGCATCCCTGAGTCTCAGCTGTCCCTTTCATGGAATGGCAACAGGGTATGTTCCAAAAAGAAGGGAAAATGTGTTTCTGGCCAGTTCACCTTATTAGCCCTCATCGAGCCTGTCAGACACTGACCATCAACTGCCTCTTCTGTTTCGTATACAGGTAGTCCTTGAGTTAACGACCATTCGTTCTGCAAAGGTCCACACTGGGTGTGCTTGGTCAGCAATGGGAACAAGAGAATGGTGAAGATCAGTTGGGGTGGCGGAGCACCGGGAGACACGAGCCTCGAAATGCAGGGTGTCAAGGGGGGCTGCGTTGGACTTTTTGCACTATGGGGCTGGGCTGGGCTGGGCTGGGCTGGGCTGGGGTAGCCAGGGCTTCCTAGAACAGCTGCAGCTTCACATTGCACTATGGCTTTGAGGCTTCTTGCCGCTCCAAAGCTATAGTTTGCCAAGAAGCCCCTGGACCTCAGTGAGGCAAGCAGCCCCTGAGCCAGGTGGTTTTGGGAGCTGCTTGCTGCCCCTAAGGGGTGTTGGGCAAC